TAAAGCAAGTGATTCTGCTGCAATTGACTATCTTCAAATCTAGTCCAACTGAGTTTCTGCCCCCTTAAAACCCATTCTAGAGACCACAGCCTCTCCAGGCTGTCCCTGTGACCCAGCCCAGGCTCCCCAACATGCAGTACCACCCAAGACAGCTACTAAGGTGAAAGGGGAGAGGAGAAAAGGGAGAGAGTCCTTCAGCCAAGCCTCTCTTGGCTCTCAAGGTGGAGAGGCTGACAGAGGCATGTGATATCCCCCTCCACAGCCCAACTGGGCCTTTGAAATTTGGGGGAAAGGGTGTTCAAGTCCCAGACTATTTTTATAGGGTGCCTAAATATGCCAGGGTCACTGCCCGACCCATAGGTGCCCCTCCCCAATTATTCTTGGTGCCCAGGGCCCAATTAAGCGGCCACCTTGCTCCCGGCAGAAGCTCTCTTATCGGCCGGGATTGATGCCTCCGCGGCTCCTGTATATCATTTCCAAGATTTTTTCTGTCCAACTCCTCGGCTCCTTTGGCTTCTGCGGCTTTGACTAATGATTGCTACAGATGCCAACGTCTCCAGAATCCTAATAGCCAGGCAGGCGGACTCTTATTTACCCGGCAACATGCTGAGGAGGAAGGGGGCTGGGGGAGCAAGGATTGGGGTGTTGTAGGTCCGGGGACAGGGAGACAGTTGTGACCAACTCAAGTTTCACTCAACTTCTTCCCCAATGAGAAAGCCATTCCCAACTGCCTCCAGTCCCTGAGGGAAAAAAATATCATCATACAAAATACTGCTAATAGTAACTCATTGCTTGCCTTCTCGGATCAAGGATCTTTGATCAAGGATCAAAAATGAACAGGACGTGGGAAAATAATCAGAAAAGTATTTATTAGTTGTAAATTGATGAGCGATGAAGCCGAAAGCCTGTCGGCTTGGGGAGGAAAAAGAGTTTTTCTTTGAGAGGAAAGGAAGGGAAATAGGTCAGCCATGGTAGTTGAAGGGGCTCCTTTTCCTTATCTCAGGTCTTCCTCTTCCTCTGTCCACCCCAGATCCACTCTTGTCATCAGTTAAAACTCTCCTTTTCCCCTTCCTTCACCTCACCTTCAGTCCGTCCAGGGGTAGGGGCCGAGCGGCGGTTCCCGGGAGGCTGCAGCTGGAGCCCGCGGGGCTGCAGGGTGGGGGCTTCTGACCGAGGCGGGGGGCCCAGGCAGACCCTGCCGTCCGTCCACTGCGGGTTGGGGAGCGCGGCCCCACTCGCGCGTAGGGGCAGAAAGTTGTGGCCGAATTTGCTTCTTCCGCCGCTTCTGCGGCGCCAGCGCGGGCCGGGTCTTTGGGGGAAAGCGGCTCGAGCTCCCCGCGGAGCCCGGACGGGTGTCGTGCGGCCTCGGGGTCAATCCAGACCTTGTACAACACACCTCATTCGGGAGAAGAGAAAACAAAATCGCGGAGCAGCCCGCCTGACAGCCCAGGCACGGAGTGATAACTCAAACAGGGAACATTTTTCTGTCAGAGAATAATGGAGCACAAAATAATTCAAAAAGGCGAATGGGCCGGACCGCAGGCTCAGCCCCGCGTGGCGGGCGGCTGCAGCCGGGCGGCGCCGAATACCGCGGCAGGACCATTTCGTTGGCGTGTAGAGCGAGGCCGCCGCTGCCGGCCACAGGCCGCTCCAGCCGCAGACTCTAAATCACAGCCCGGCAAGAGGACTCGGAAATACAAAAAGGGAGCCGAAAAGATTTAAACAGTCGGAGGCAGAGGCGTCCCGACGCGGCCAGACCGAGAATCAATCACGTAATTAAAACGGGGAGAGGGCGAGGCCCGAGGCTGGGGTCCCGGGTTCAGAGGAAGCGGCCAAGGTGCCGGCGTAGACAGCGAGCAGCCCAGGGATGGGGCTCGCCCGTCCGGGCGCAGCGCTCCAGGGGCTGTGGGCAAGTTTATAGCAGATGCTATAGATTCCCGCTTGGCTGGTAAGAGCAGGCTGTGCATCCTGTCCAAGGCCGGATCCAGAAGCCGCCGCTGGCCCCTTGGGCTCCCCCATTTTATGGGGTTTTAGTGCTTGGTTCAGGACTACTCCCCAGATCCCAGCGATGCTATGGCTGTGTGTAGGCAAGTTTGTCTGTAAGCCCAGGTGGCACTAAGATGCTGCCTCTTGAGTTTGAGGGGGTAGAAGGAGATGGCAGTCTAGTTTCAGGCGCCTACATAATACCATGGGCCTTCGTACCCCCAACCCAGAAACCCAGGCTTACCTTCGGAATGACTCCCACCTATGGGCTGAGGCTTGGAGGGGGAGTAGGAGGCAGGTGGGCTTATTAAAGGGAAAAAGGAGGCTAAGTGAACAGGACCCCTTTGGGCAGGGAAAGAGAAGGAGTAGCCTCTGGAAAACAAGGCACATGGGGACCTCTGTTTTTGAGGGACGGGTGTTCTTGCTATTATCAGATTGATAATGGTAATTGTCTAGTATGGCCCGGTCAGCCCTGAGAGGTGGAGTTCTACACGGTACATTTTTTTTAAAGAGGCTTCACTGGAGAGTCAAGGGCTCCCCAACTTGGCTGTGGTTGGGGAGAATAAGAGAAAGACATTCCCTTCCTTTCCCTGCCCTTTTCTTTCCCCATCCTTGAGGACTCCAGAAAAAGGGGAACCTTAACAAAATTTCCTTCATACCCCTCACTTCCCCCTGGTTTCTCCAGTTCACGAAAATGCACTGTGTTTGGGCTGTGGGCTTTCCCAGAGCGCCCTTCTTATGAAGTTTGATAGGCAGTAACCGGGCCAAGTCCCCATGAATTATATTCTTCCCTGGAGGAGACTCAGGATTCTCTTGCCTACTCCATGTAATTCTGCCTTATCCTTAGCCTTTTCCAGGCTCCCGCCTTCTTGGCCCCTGGGTCCCTGATCTGGCAGCTCAGAAGCCAAGAATAATCTCCCTCATCAACCTCCCCAAAAGGCCCCCAGCTTCCTATCATCTCCTTAATTCTGAGAGCAGCAGGCCAGGGAGCCCTCCATAACCTGCCCTAAAACCAGCCTTATTCCTGTAACTTTCAAAAGGTACCACGGATCAGCTCCTTTAAGAGTAAAAGTCCTACCCCCACCCCAAGCAGGAAAGTCCAGGTCACAAACCCTAGCAGCTAGCCTCCTGAAGTCTGAAGTCAGAGTTTTCAGCAGCAGTAGCAATATTCATAATAATAATAATTAAAGGGAGAAAGGGACACCCCAGCCCAACTTTAAAGGGATATAATCCAGCAACCTTGGGTAGGAGCGGGGGTCAGCGAGGCCAGGATGTGCAAGGAAGGCGGTGGGAACCCAACCTCTAACTAACAATTTCTCCAGCATAAAAATGAAACATCAAATTCGTTAGCCCAGGGCCTTCATTTTTCCCCTTCCACATTATAACTAGTTATTGAACTCGCTGGAAGATCTAAAGGCCATTTGCGAAGAGACAAATTTCAATGGAGTTTCCCCATCAATAACCCCATGGCAGTGACCTATTGGAACAAGTCAAACACCCGAGGTGAAATGCAGGTCACTCTGTCTAACCAATATTAAAATGCGGCCACTTTTTAAAAAGCCACTTTAAACGAGATTTGAGGAAAATTGAATTCCAAGGAAGGCAAGGCAAGGAGGGGTAAATCCACGGGAGGACCTTGCCTATGGTCTCCCAACAAGAGAAATTCATCTTTAATATTTTAAAGGGGGGCAAATTAACATTCCATGATTGCTTTTTTTTTTTTGTGACCATAAGCAATTCAAGGAGGGAAAAAAGGTTGAGTATTTTCTTGTGACACATCCGGGTTATTAAAATCATTTTAGACCAATTCATTACTTTTACTGACAAGAGATTTAAGAAAAAATCAATTAGGTATTTGCATATTCTTTTGCATACATTAGCCCTGCCTGCTGGCATTAGAAAGGGACAAAAACACACATATACACACACATACACGCACACACAAGAAAAAAAATAGGATAAGAGTGTTGATTTAGTTTGGGGTTTTCAAGTTGCTTGGAGAAAAAAAATGAAACAAATTACTTGATTGCATACCATCTAAAAGTCAATTTATTTGAGGAAGGGAAAAGAGACAAGCTGAAAATTTTAATCTCTAAAACAACAATACACACATCAAAAGAAAAAAATTCTGTGACTTTTGAGAGTGGGGAAAGAAATGACCCTCATTTTCCTTCTCTTTGCCCTCCAAATCCTGGGTTGGCTCCCCCATTTATAGTTCTCCCTAGGAAAATCCAGGGAGTCTAAGAGGTGAGATTTTAATGCAGCACAGAATCTGTGGAGCCGCTGAGGTCTCTCAGCCGGCAGCTTGTTACTGGGGAGGGGAGGAATATGGGTTATCCAACGGTCAGTATGGTAATCCGGGCACAATAAGGCCTCGCACACAATGGACACATATTTTTCTTCAGCGGTGTCAGAAGGGAAGCGCTTTGTACTGAAACATGTTTCCGAAAGAGAAACCAGATCGAGGTTTAGAAGGGAGATGGGGAGGAGAATGTTCGGAAAACATTTTGGAAGCTGGGGAAAAGGTGATCAGAAAAAATAAAAAATAAAATTTGGGTAAAGAAAGGTGGAGGGCAGATCGAGGGTGGAGATCCGTGGGCTGGCAAGGCAGGAGGGCAAAACACAAAAGGAGACAGAACCAGAAACAAGGATTCCTCCCAGGCAAGAGCCGCTGTAGTGCCCCTGCCCCCCACCTCAATGAAGCCAATGCTAAGTGTGGGAGCCCTCTGAAGAGATTTTATTTCTGTGCTTGTAATAAGACCCATGTGAAAATGTTTGTATCTATGTGTGTGATGGAGTCTGGCTTGCTAATTTCCCCATGTGATAGGCGACTTCCTTGTTATTAAGTTATAGGAGCCCGAAGAGAGTCTTTCTGGCAAATGATGTAGATGAGTATGGGTATATTTGGGGAAATGTCCCAGATTTAAGTTTCTGGGTGTGCATGTTGAATTAGTTGTGCAAACCTGGACTGAGAACACATATTTATGGCTGCATAAGGAGGCGTTTAATATATTTAAAAATATTTAGAGTATGTATTCGTGTATATTTGTTAGCTCTGATAACCAGACAGACTTGTTATTCAGTTGGAGGCAACTGAACTCTTTATCTACTTATACCTACTGGTTCGAAGTGGGTTTGCTGCTTCTCCTCCCTTGACCCACCTGCAGGAGCTCAGAATCCTGGGGATTGGGGTGTAGGATGCGCCATGCCTTGGGAAGGACTCCCTAACAAGCCCGAGAGTGAAGAGATTGAAGAAAAGGGGGTTGAGCTGGTAGACATAAAAGGTGAGCGTGAGAGCTGGGAGGAGGGAAGCCAAGCCAAGACCTTACCGTGGGGAAGAGAAAATGTCCTGCCAGGATGGGGTGGGGCAGCGTGATGCAGGTGCCCGCCTGGGGGAGAGGTTGGGGATGGGTCTGGAAGGCTTTCTCCTCCTTCCCCAACCCCAACCCTACGTGAGTTTTCTGGAGCTTTGGCTTTCTCCACTGTGCAGTCTGGGCTGTGGTTCAGACTTTTTATGTAGGTCCGCATTCAGTATTGTTTTCCCTTTGTCCTCTTACAGCAACTTATATGAACCCACCCACCAACAATAATTACAACAAATAAAACCCTCACTCACCCCAAACCACTGTCAACCAAGCAGTACACCCTCTTCCTCACAGGGTCAGGTTACTCTTCCCACCCAAACTTCCAGCCCAAGTACTCAAATGCAAAGGGTCCTGGACAAGAGTGGGCAAGGGTTCTCAACCAACTTTGGAAATTTGGGACTCTCTTCTAAGATATGGTTGACCTCCAGGGAATTTCTGATCACTCACCCCTGGTGGCAGGGGGCAGGGCACTCTTCCTCTTGAGGAAAGGTATTTATGGACCCCCAAGTCCCTTACTGTGAGCCTGGGGTGAGGGTGGGGGGCCTAAGCACTGGAGCAGGGCAGGCAGTGAGCGGTTCAGGGCCTCTCTCACTCCAGTCCTCAGAGAAAGCCCTTATTTGCAAATGGGGACCCTCTCCTGCATCCTAAAGGTAGTGAGAGACAAGTGGGCAATCTCCTGCCTTTGGTCTTTCTCTCACGAGGGCTTTATTTTTTTTCCTTTCCCCTTCTCATTCCCTTAATTGCAGATGTTCTAATTAAACCCTCAAATAGTTGTTATGCCGTTTTAAAAGGTACTTATTCAAGTGTCAACCAGGCTGGGCTGGGAGGAGGCAGCATAGGGCGGCGAATTAAAGGTAGATTGACTAATCACGGCGGCGATCATAATAATAAAATCAGAGGGAAAAAAATCACATTACGACTTTTCGTGGAAAGGAGGGAACAGGCAGCCAGCGGCCGCCAGCCCTGCACTGCCGCCGACACAAAGAGCGCGGCGATTCCGCGAGACTGATTTATGACGTTTTACAGCCCTATAAAAGCTGTAGCGACGAGGCAAGCGCTCCTACCACCGCTGGCAGATTTAGTCTAATAAATAAAACATAAACAGTTAACTTTATGTGTCACTTTTATTGTTATCAAGTAAAATATAGCTGAGCCCCGGCAAGCTATGATTTTAAACTATAATTGTTATCAAGTACAACAGGGGGACCCGGCTCCCTCCCTGGGCTCTCCCTTCTGCCACCCCCCAACTCTGACTTATGGGATCAGCTAATTGGAATTGGTGGCAGGACGTGGCCATCCCTAGCTGAGGGGGGTTGGAAAGCAGCCCTTCCTTGCCCCCTCCCTCCTCCATGGCCCTGCCACCCAGCCATCAGGGTCTTCCTGTGGGTGGGTGGCAGAGAAGAGGGGAGAGGGCGGGAATGGACTGGAGACCCCTAAGGCTGGCCCAGCCTCCCCAGCTTAGTGAGCTCACCCCTCAGCTTTTGGAAGGCAGCCTGGAGCTGGCTCTTGGGAATGTGTGTTTACATGTAAACACATGTGTTACATGGATACAATCCCTAGCCCGGAAGCAGGCTGTACCCACACAGGCCTCGCTCCTAGCTGGATATACCCTCTGTGGGGATGGAGAAAGAAGAGCTCCCAGGGCTTTGACTGGGCACCACCACAGGGCACTGACTCCGGCAGACTCTCCTCCCTGCCCACAGCTTCTCAGGAAGCAGCCTTGGAGGTGGCTGTCAGAAAGCAGAAGGCCAGAAGGAATGGAGTATGGAAACAGCAGCCAGCAGAAGAGATCCTCTGTTCTGGGGCCAGGGTAGGGAGGGTCAGTGGGTTCTAGGGGAGGAGGGCAAGGCTTCTGAACTCTGCTTTTGCCAACCACTTCCTGTCTCTCTTCAGCGGGGGGCTTAACCCCCAGACCTTCAGAAATGACGTCAGAATCATTTGCATCCCGCTGCCTCTACCTGCCCGGTCCAGCTGGGACCCTGCCTTGCCAGCCCCTTGGCCAGAGGGTTGGGTGAGTGTGTATGGGGTAGGGGGCTGGACTCTGGTATCCTTGGATAGGGGGCACCCCAGGCTCTCCAGCCTCCTGGGCTCAGTCTGGGCTCCTCCTCATCCAACCTCCACTCCAGTCCTCCTCATTCAACTTCCTCTTCCTGAGAAAGAGGGGCGCTACCCGGTGACCTACACAGACTGAGACAGGATCGCCATGAATGGAGACCTCTGGAAAAGCTCAGGAGCCCAGGCTCAAGGGGTCTACCGGAGGCCTACGGGGAGACCCTGGGAGGCGCCTGGATCACAGCCTCCCGACAGCCCCCCAATGCCCAGGCTGTGGAGGGGAGCTTGGGGCTTCCTATCTGCTTTTGCAGGAAGGGTTGTCGGTCGGCAGGGTGTGCACTGGGGGCACCCAGCCCTTGCCAGCTAACCCCACATTACCACCCCCGCCCCCCAAGTACCACCACCACCACCAGACACAAAAAAATTGGATACATTTTGAATAAAGCGATTCGGTTCCTTATCCGGGGACTGGGTTGCTCCGTGTGATTGGCCGGCGGAGTCACATGGTGAAAGTAACTTTACAGGGTCGCTAGCTAGTAGGAGGGCTTTATGGAGCAGAAAAACGACAAAGCGAGAAAAATTATTTTCCACTCCAGAAATTAATGATCATGAGCTCGTATTTGATGGACTCTAACTACATCGATCCGAAATTTCCTCCATGCGAAGAATATTCGCAAAATAGCTACATCCCTGAACACAGTCCGGAATATTACGGCCGGACCAGGGAATCGGGATTCCAGCATCACCACCAGGAGCTGTACCCACCACCGCCTCCGCGCCCTAGCTACCCTGAGCGCCAGTATAGCTGCACCAGTCTCCAGGGGCCAGGCAATTCGCGAGGCCACGGGCCGGCCCAGGCGGGCCACCACCACCCCGAGAAATCACAGCCGCTCTGCGAGCCGGCGCCTCTCTCAGGCGCCTCCGCCTCCCCGTCCCCAGCCCCGCCAGCCTGCAGCCAGCCAGCCCCTGACCATCCCTCCAGCGCCGCCAGCAAGCAACCCATAGTCTACCCATGGATGAAAAAAATCCACGTTAGCACGGGTAGGCAACTTTGCTTTTTGCTCTCCCCCTCCCTCTCCTCTTCCCCAGCGCTCCCCACCCTCGCCGGCCCCCATCGGCCCCCGTCCTCCTTTCTCTCCTTCCCCCTCTCTCTCCAGGAGCGACTCTGGGTTAGCACAATTGAACTGGATTTACGAGCGAGAATGGGTAATTACATCCCCCATAAATTTTATGGCTTAGCTACTCTGGGCAGTCCGAGCCATGTGCTACGATCTGTTATGTATGTGTGAAAACTATGCTCGCTTTCTAAGGGCGCATAAATAATTCAGTGTCGTTACAATGAGGATTCCCCTCTTATTACACTACAAAGTCTCCAGCTTCCTTCAACTTCTTTATAACCCATTTAGCTTGATGACTTTATTTCCACCACCCCCTCCTCCTGTTCCACAGAGCTGAGGATGGGGTGAGGGTGGGGGAGTGGGAGCCTGCTGCCTCTGAACCCCATTATTTGCTTTCCCCCTCCTCCTCCTCCCAGTGAACCCCAATTATAACGGAGGGGAACCCAAGCGCTCCAGGACAGCCTACACCCGGCAGCAAGTCCTGGAATTAGAGAAAGAGTTTCATTACAATCGCTACCTGACCCGAAGGAGAAGGATCGAGATCGCCCACTCGCTGTGCCTCTCTGAGAGGCAGATCAAAATCTGGTTCCAAAACCGTCGCATGAAATGGAAGAAGGACCACCGACTCCCCAACACCAAAGTCAGGTCAGCGCCCTCGGCCGGCGCTGCGCCCAGCACCCTCTCGGCAGCCACCCCGGGCACTTCTGAAGACCACTCCCAGAGCGCCACGCCGCCGGAGCAGCAACGGGCAGAGGACATTACCAGGTTATAAAACATGACTCACACCCTGCCCCCACCTCCTGCTCCCATCCTCCCTTCACACACAAATTGACTCTTATTTATAGAATTTAATATATATATATATTTTGGTTCTTTTCTCTCTTCCTCCCACCTTATCCCTTGTCAATTCCAAACAGACAAAACAGATAAACAAGCCCCCTGCCCTTCTCTCCCTTCCACTGTTAAGGACCCTTTTAAGCATGTGATGTTGTCTTAGCATGGTACCTGCTGGGTTTTTTTTTTAAGGCCATTTTGGGGGGTTATTTATTTTTAAGGAAAAAAGCTGCAAAAATTATATATTGCAAGGTGCGATGGTCTGGTTTGGGTGAATTGCAGGGGAAATGAGGAAAAGAAAAAAAGAAAGATTTTAAAGCCAATTCTCACCCTTCTCCTTCTCCTCCTTACCCCCTCTTTCCTTAGGCCTTTTGCATTGAAAATGCACCAGGGGAGGTTAGTGAGGGGGAAGTCATTTTAAGGAGAACAAAGCTATCAAGTTCTTTTGTACTATTGTTGGGGGGGTGCTGGGAGGAGAGGGGGGAAGACAAAGCTAAGTGCATCTGAAGAGCCTCTCAAAGCTGTTCAGTTTGAGGAACCAAAAGAAAATAAAAATGAACTTTCAGTTCAGAGAGGCAGTCTATAGGTAGAATCTCCCCCCTACCCCTCATCATGATTATTGTGTTTTGGACTGAATTTACTTGATTATTGTAAAACTTGCAATAAAGAATTTTAGTGTCGATGTGAAATGCCCCGTGATCAATAATAAACCAGTGGATGTGAATTAGTTTTACGTCAATGTCTGATGGTTTCTTTTTACCCCCCTCCTCCTTGTGGCCTGGTAACACCCCACCTTCTCTATAGTTGCCTAAGTTTACTTGAAGCAAACATACAAATCTTAACTCTCAACTCCAGTTTTCCACTGTCCTTATAAGAAATAGCAAGGGGGTTAGGGCGGGGGACCCTCAGAAGAGGGGATATGGAAGATTAGGGCTGATTTCTCCTGCCCTGCCCTGAGTCTGCAGTGAGGTGAGATCCTCCTGGGGGTGTTCACCAGCAGTACTGGGAAGATCTGACTTTTCTATAGTTAGGCACAGTGCCTTCTTTTTGTCTTTTTCCCTCTCCTCTCTTCTCTTTTCTCTCTGCTGAGGAAGCCCGCCTAATTCGCAGACAAGAAGGCAAGTTTAGGGAGTAGGAGGAAGAAGAGTTTTCATCTTTTAGGGATCTTTCGGATTGAGGGGTTAAGGAAGATGCCCACTCAACATTGGTGTCCTTAAAACAAGAAAGATTTTAAGCTGGTGATTCTGAAGCAGCAAAGTGACCTGTCAGGATGGCTTCTCTGTTTGTTTAGACTTGGAAAGAAGGGTGAAGTGAAGGCCAGAGGCCTAGGAGGCTGCCTTGCATGGGTAGGCCTCAAAGCCTGAACTCTGGAGATAATGAGAAACTTTTATTTTTTTCCCTAACTTTTATCATGGACCTGCCAGGTGTTGAAAAAAGATCCAAGAAGAAGCAGGGACCACCCGTCTTCCTATAAACTCCCAGTCCTGGCAGGGCTTGGGGATAGATGGAACTAAGCTCCTTAACTATATTAAAAAAAAATTTTTTTTAATTGTTTCCTTGGGGGCTAAAAAAAGAAACAAAAAATCAGCCTGGATTATCTGAATAATTAATTTAAATCACAGTCTCCTAGATAATTCTGGTCCTGAAGACCAGGCTGTACTTAAGCAAGGCCTGCTCAGATTTTTGCTTGTTTGTTGGGAGAAGATGGGAGGGAGGGATTAGTGAGCTTCTCAGGCAATTTATCTACATTTCAGGGTGGAAGACTTTCAGAAGTAGAAGAGAGAAGGAGAAAAGATTTAGGGTGTGCAGGAGATCCAGGGACACCCCTCACCTCTCTCCACAAATTCTGGCGGGAAAGACAACAATAGGACCAAGTTGTGAAGATCTGTTTGGTGTACTTCGGATTTATTTCCTCTTGAACCACTTGCTAGCTGGTCCTTGGAGTGGGCTGTGTGTGTGTGTGTGTTGGGGGGAATCATCTGGTCCTGTAGGTCTACTTTCTCCTCCCTCAGTGGTGCCCTGGAGACAGCAAAACATGCTGCTCCAGGGTGAGGAAACAGGGCCAACAATTATCTGGAGTTATTTTAGATAATCAAGTGAATTAGGGGCCAAATCTGAGTGTAGCTCCTATCATCTTGAGCAAACTGACTTTAGGGCAGGAAAAGGGGGTCTAACTGTGCTTGGGAAAAGAGAAGGAATATCTGAGGGGTGGACCTGGGTGACTTTACAAGCCTGTAAGGAAGCTAAAATGGAGAGGGGGTGGGGAGGAAGTTAAGATCCATAGTCCTTTCTTAACTTGGCTCATTTGGTTTTAGGGGAATTTATCCCCTCTCTTCCTGGAAGTGGAAGAGATAAAAGCAAAGAGAAGAAGTACCACCATCTTTTATTTCTTAAACTTCTCCCTGAACTTGCTGGAGGGACACTCTCCAACTCAGGAAAAGCAGCATAAAAGGATTGGGACAGTTCTGTCATTCCCCCTCCTTTAGGGGTTTTGGTTGCTCCTTCCTCTTCTCACACATACACACACAGTCATTCTTTGTGTGTCTCTTTCTGTCCCTCTTGATCTTAAAGGGGATTTGCCTCAGAAATCCATAATTCTTGACAAACTAAACTAAACTAGATAAACCCACTTACACTTGAGTTTTCAAAGATTTTGGCCTCTGGCCTTCCCTCCAGAAGGCTCCATTCTTTTCTGTTTCTCCAAAGCTCTCATGTGCCTTGGACCTGTCCCCCCTCCCCCACGGGAATGGGATGAGGCTGTCAGGGAGGACTGGGGTAGGGTGTGGGGTATGGAGGGCCAACTTGGGCCAGGGTCTCTTGTTCCAACAGCTCAGTCCCTGCTGGCTGCTACTTCTGCTCCACTCAAGCAGGCTATAGCCTCACTGGGAAGCCGAGGGCTGGGGCTTTTATTGAAGTTGGTTTGAGCAGTGAGGAAAGGCTGTGGAGGGGGTGGGTGGGCGGGGAGAACACATCCCAGGTTCATGGGGAGGACACAGCATTTTCTCTCCCATCGCCTTTATAATCGGCAGCGCCTCTGACCTCACCCCCACCCCCATCTCCAACCCTCCCAAGCCAGCCCTTGCTCTGCCCCTGGTCTCCAGATAGGGTGCCACTGCTTTTGTAGGGCTGGGGATTTCTTGCCCAGAGTAATGGAAGAGGCAAGGAGCATGAATGCCTGCTAGCACACTGAATCTCTCTCCAATGGCCAAGTAAAAAGAAGACCGGGTGAAAAGATGACACCAATCTTTCAAGGTTCTTCTCTCCAAGCACCAGGAGATCCCCACAGGTCTAAAATCCCCTTGACATGTAAGTAGTTAGCACTCGATCCGCTCAGGGGCGAGGAGCAGAGCAGTTTCAACTCTATTTCTGCCATTCAATTTTTATCTCAACTCCTGAACCTGGGGAGGGAATGCGGGAAATCCAATCCTTACTGCTAGGCTTCTGCTCAGGGGAAATGGAGGTTCCGTGCCAGTAGTGTACCTGGAGAGTGAAGAAACTTGGCTTAAAGGGGAAAGAGAGAGTTAAGAAAGTGAGCCTGGGGGGAAAGGACTGGGGAACTTTATTTCTCAGAGGGCTTCTCGCTGCCGCATGTATGAAGTTTCCTACAAAGTTTCTCTCAATCTGTGTATCAGCTGTCTTCACGCGTGGGCTTGTTGGATTGCAATCCGCAGATGCTGCTGTATATATGTGTGTGTGTATTGGGTGTTGTATTGGGGGGTAGGGAAGATAAAACAAAGGGTTTTCTGGAGCCTGGGACCAGGGCACCCTCTGCTAGGCACGGTTTGTCTGCTTTTCCAAGATTAGGGAAGAATGAATTTTAACACCCTTGAGATCGTGGGTGCAGTGACGGGAGAAGCAGCCTGCTGGGGAGATTCCACCATCTTTTTCTCCGCTTTTCACCCAGTCCTGGGGAAGCATGATATATTGCCTTACAAAGCCACTTCTCATGGTTCTTCACAGCTTCTATCTGGAACCCCACCTTTAGAGAGCTAACTCCAATCAAAATGTTCCCCTTTCAAGCTACCCTTCCCAGGCTTGGAAAAAGAGATGGAGGATCCCCCAACTCCAGCAGCCACCAGAGCAGAGGGAATATTTATTACCTTTCTGGATATCGTTACCTAAGAATACAATTTTATGAATTTCCTAATCTGTTAGCTTGATTTATCTAGATGGGCAGGGACCCAAAATAAGCATTTGGGGGATTTAGTAAGGGGAAAAAAGTCTTTGCCTCTGACCAATCTTTCTGATAGAACT